CCCCCAGCAAGATGGATTGGAAAAGTGGCAGCATCAACGGGCTCTAGCGTTTCAACAATTGTGAGGTTGGCCCAGGGTCGAGCAGTGTTTCAGTGACAATGTGGCTTAATGCACTGGACTACAAGGTCAGTTTGAGTTGCAAGGTCGGCAGTTTGAACCTCACTAGCTGCTCCTCAGAAACCCTAAACAGGGTCACTATGAGTCAGAACTAAATCGATGGCACTTAACAACAACAATGATCTCTAAGAAGCAAAATAGATATTGTAAGATACTTGTATGCATTTAAATTGGTTGTAATTGTGTCATACTGAAATTTTAAATTTCCTGGTAATTCAGAATATTGCATATATCCAAGTGTGTTTTGTTCTTTGTTTTAAATAACTTATTTACTGTATTAAATCTTAGCATGTTTTATTGCTATTGTATATTTTTGCAGCTATTTGAATGACTTGGACAGAATAGCACAGCCAAATTATATCCCAACTCAACAAGATGTTCTCCGAACTAGAGTGAAAACAACAGGGATTGTTGAAACCCATTTTACTTTCAAGGATCTTCATTTTAAGTGAGTAGCTTCTAAACGTATGATTTATACACTTAAGTATAAAATGTATTGCTTTGGAACGAGAGGTATACAAACTAATGAAATTTTAATAATTTTAATGTTGGAAAATTATAAAACTATTTTCTCAGAAAATTGGATAAAAGAATATCTTGGTAAAAGAGAGCAAGAAGCAGCATTCTTAAGAAGCATACTTAAATTTTTATTTAAGAAAAAATAGCCTGGCAACTTCCTTTTGTTTATATTTTCATACTGATTTAAACAAACAAAATTTTTTATTTCTAAACAGCAAATACTGTTGTTTTGGGAAAATGTTGTCATTCATTTTTAAGTAAAAAGAAAGAAAGTTTTACTGATAAAATGGATAAATGCTTGTTTATGAATGTATTTTAAAAATAGATACCTTTCTGATGTCCTATGAAAATGTTTATTCATAGAAAAGTAATGTTTCATTTAACTTAAGTCTAAGGGATACTGACTCCTGAAGGCTAATCAAAGTACCTTCTAGAAATGGGATGCACTTTAGAATTCATTTTGTCTAGTCCCCTCATTTTAAAATGAAGCAGATTTTGAAAATTTCTGTTGAATACTACATATGAAACTGCCTTTCTTTGTTTCAATAACTAAATATTTTCTAGGAATGAGAAAACTTGATGAACTGAAGTACAAAATATATTTATTTATATAGCGCTGCTGGTCAGTTGCATTATTTAATCTGTTTTCCCGTAGCCGATCTATCATCTGATTTTGAGCGCTATGATTTTCTCTACTAAATATGTCATTTAACTAATTCCACTAAGCATACATTGTACTTCTTCATTTCTCATCACCTTATTCTAGTGGCCAGTGGTTCAAACCCACCAGCTGCTCCTTGGAAACCCTCTATAGGATCGTTATTAGTCGGAACTGACTCAACAACACTTAAAAACAGCAAGTCAATTTAACATCCTAACGTGTTTTACTGAAATACAATTTTGTTGTTTTCATAGAAATCCCAGACTATTATAGTGTTATTTGACCTTTAAAATTGCTGATTTAAGAAAAATTTTTTTACAGATATTTCCTTTTTTTATTACTAGTGTTTACTTGAAAATATTGAAATTAAACCAAAGGACTGGCAAGAATTGGCTTTTAAAAATGGCTATCCTCCCTTACTTGAAAATTCGCTTGAAATGTTGCATTTACTAGTTGCCCATTGTCTTTAGTGACAGTGCTAAATTTATAAAACCAGGAAGGGTCATATCAGTCAGACTGTATGAAAAAACTTACATAGTCCCTATACCAAATGCATACTTACCAGTATCCTTGAAAGTCATTGTTTATAATCCAACAGGGTTGAAATTGATTTTTAGGAAAGTTACAACTACAGGCATTGTATACTTGCAGAACGTACATATTGTTTATAATGATTCAAACTGATAGAGTTCCAGTTGTCGCTGCAGGAAGTTGAATTAGCAAAAGCACTTATAATGTTTTATATTTTGTAAAAAAATTCATACTTTTTATGATCCATCGTTATCTGCTGTAATTTTTCTCAACAACAACAACATGAGTGATTCGAAAAATCTCTATTTTTTCAGATTTTATCTAGCGTGAAGTTTTTGATTTCTTTACAGAATTTCAAATTTCACAACACTGTGGATATTACCTTGAGCTTTTAGTCTATAATTCTGTCATCACAACCCAAAAAGATAGAATTTTATGTAGAGATATATATGGACTTAAAAACATTCATGGAAAAATTCCACTATCTTTTCATTCTATTTTCTCACAAAGTTTCTGAAGCCCTGTGTGTGTGTGTGTGTGTGTGTGTGTGCGCACATATGACAAATAGTAAAAAAGCACAGCTAGCTATGAATTCATTCTGAATTTATTAAAATTGTATCTGTATTTGGTCTATAATTAGAGTACACATTATTGCTCTTAGAATTGTTTTTTTCATTCCTCTATAATTTTGACTAAAACTTTTCTAATTTAAGATAGTCATTTTACATGAGACGTTAACATATACTGTGGATTAGACTCTTCCTCAGTAAATGTTAATGCTTTGAAACTGAAATAATAAAAAATAAACAGTATTTCTGATAGCCCACTAACCACTCTGTGAGGAAAAGGAAAGGCTTTCTGCTCTCACCAAAAGTCAAAGCTATGAAAACCTCTTACAGGGTCACTATGAGTGGAAACCAACTAATAGCATATAAAAAGTCAAAGGTAAGACAAAATAAGTATGAGGTCACCTCATAAAGAAGCGTCCTGATACAAGGTATGAGAAGCATAGGTAAATATATGCAGTTGTACCTTTAATTCTTTCCTTGGAGTCCTGGTGTGGCACTGGTCGGCAGTTCAAACTCACCAGCTACTATTTGGGAACCCTATACAGGTTGCTATGTCGGAACCGGCTCGACAGCACTTAACAACAACACACTTCTGATTCCTTCCGTAGATATTTTAAGTATAATACATTCATTACTATCGTTTGTCGCTAATTTTTCTCACATTATTGTTTCATGTAATTGAACTTTTTAGAGGTCTGAAACTTAATTCCAAATATTTTCATGGAAGATTCTCCCTTCCCAAGCCATTCCAAATAAAAAAAAACACATTTTCCTGCTTTCTGAAACAGAGATACAGATCATAATAGTTTATCTGACCATGTAACCTTGTGCTTCAATACTTGGTGTAGCTTTGCATGTGTTTTTAATTTTTTTCTATGTTCATTCTTTTTCAAGCAAGTTTTGTTTTGTTTTTGTTCCTAGTGTTATCGCATATTAAAATCATTTCCTTCTTTTAGTTTGATTTGTTGTTGTTGTTAAGTGCTGTCAAGTCAGTTTCGACCCATAGCGACCCTGTACAGGGTTTCCGAGGCTGTAAATCTTTTAGGGAGCAGAAAGCCTTATCTTTAGTGCTTCTGAAATGCTGACTGGCCAAAACCAAAATGTAGTTGTAAAGTAATGAAAGATGCCTGATTTAGGGATTGTTGTCACATATTAAAAATAATAATAATAATACAACAACTATGAAATGATCATAATTATTTAGAAGTTCGTGTTTTTTGTTGTTTGTGTTGTTATTGTTGTTTTTAACCTTGTTCCCCATAGATTTTGCTTTCGTTTAACTAATTTGTTTACTATTTTAAAGACCATGTCCTAAAGCAAACAAATGAGTGTTCTATTCAAATAATGTTTTATTCTAACCAATGTATTCTGAGGAGAAATGCATGGCGTAGAGGTTCCACAGTTGAATAAGTGGTCAAACCTGCTTAAGATTCTTAACATAGAGTATTACTGTCTTGGCCTTTTCCAGAATTTTAAAGCTGTAATAAGATATTGACTATAAAGGACACTTCATAAAGATCAGAGCTCTAAAATGGTAGGAAATGGTGATGGTAAATGTTAAGTCAATTATGTGATGCTTAAGGCAGTCTCCAACTATGTAAAATTATTTTTTAATCTTGACGACTTTCACTCTAAAATTTTCTTCCAGAACATACTTGTTGAGTGTAGGTTTCTAAAAGTTATCATTTCAGCATCAAGCAAATGTTACAGTACTTCAGTGACGTTGTCTTACAATGATCCTTCCAGGAAGTACATTTGTATTGCTCCATTATTTTCCTTGAATGGGGTAGAATTTTGTGATGCATTTAGTTACTGTTTTCTCCTGCTGTCTTAAGGATAAACATAGGTTTGTAAGAAACTTCAGATAAACTTTGTCTTTTTCAGGGTTTGTATTCTGTTAAATTACTATCATGGCTAACTTACGGGTCCAGCTTTGTTCTTTTTATATATTAAATGAGCCTCAGAAACATGAGGACATAAATATACTTAAAATAGTTCTACTTGAAAGCCAACTGTGTTAAGTATTTTGTAGTTCTGTGTGTTTTGCATTTTAATTCTTTGTATAATTTTTAACTAATAACATAAAAAATACCAGTTTCACTTATTTTTTATATATAATTGTTATTTTTAAGTTCTGTTAAGTCAATTCTGACTCATAGTGACTATATATAGAGTTGCCACGGGCAGCTGGTGCATTAGAACTACTAGCCTTGTGGTTTGCAGCCCAGTGCTTATCCTACAGCACCACACCAAGATCCTTTTGTATGATTGTTGTTGTTAAGTGCTGTTGAGTTGGTTTGACTGTGCAACCCTGCATAGGGTTTCTGAGGAGCCGCTGGTGATTTTGAACCACCGCCCTTGCAGTTCAAACCAACATTATGGTCCAGTGTTTATCCTACAACGCCATACTAAGTGTCTGTTTTGTATGATTAGTACTAATGAATTTAAACTGAATCAGTAAGGCAGTTATAGTTATTATCACTTCTGTGACTAGGCATTTGTAGATAGTATCTATGTGGATGATTTTGCTTTCTTATAAATATCAATAGTTTTATTTTACTGTGATGGTTGTTTTGTTTTGTTTTGTTTTTGCCAAGCAGAGTAAATGTAACAAGGATACATATAAAATCATTACTATAATGTGACAGATAATCCGTTTTCAACAGGAATGTTGTTGTTAAGTGCCATTGAGTCAGTTCCAACTCATAACAACCCTGTATAGGGTTTCCGAGGAGTGGTTGGTGAACTTGAACCACCAATCCTGCAGTTCAAACCGACTTTGTAGCCTAGCGCATTAACCCACAGCACCACACTAGGACTCCATGCGTGTATAATGGGTTTGGGTATAGTGTTATATTGGTTTGAATACACATATGTGGTCATTAGATTTGTAGCAGGCAGTCTTGGACACACACGGTATTAGATGACTGTCAAAGGATAGGTCAGCACATTGCAAGATTTCTAACATCTTTCTTTCCACACTAAAAAAATCCTAAGGAAATTCAAATGCATTCCATTTTTGCTGCTACCCAATAGTGTTATCTGTTTCTATGAAGAAGAGCATTCTGTATTTTTTGTTCTGTTTTATTTTTCCTTTTTTAAAAATAGAGGCTAAGAATTTAACAAAGGTGTTTAAAGTAATTAAAATATTTTGAATGTATGTGTGAA